GGTGCTGAGAGGACACAGAAGTTAATGAAGACACCTGGGGACAAGAAACTTCAACACTGAGCCCAGCCCATCATGGCCTTTGGCCAAAAAACCACCATGAAGGAGCCCCCATCAATCCTAGCTACTTCCCCACTCTTGCTCTAAAACAACTGCTAAGGCCCTAGGATAAGGGAGTGCATCCTGCCTAGTCCCCTCCATTCCCATAAACATACAGACACAGAAAGAGATGATTAAGTTCTTTATGGAGAAGCAGGAGAGAGGGGGGAAGAGGGAAGGGGTGGGTGAAACCAGAAGGGAGAGTGCAGGAGCTCCTTCTGTGTCCTGTGCTCAGTGGGTTTGCGCAGAGTAGAACAATGCTGTCAGGCAGGCCTGGTGCCTTATCTCTTGCTGTGGAAAGGAGGAGAGTCAGTGGAACCAAAATAATTCATGAAACGTTAGAAAGAGAAGGGCTCCACTCGCCAGATCTAAACAGAGGCCAAAGGTCATTCTCCCCAATCTCATCCCCAAAGTGAGTTCCCACAATTCTCCATGCCCAGGTATGAAGAGAGGAAAGGTGACTTCAGGGCAAAATGAGGATGAGGATGCTGTTGGACTCAGGCTTTGCCTTGGGCAATTCTCTGACCAACATCTCCCAAGTATCACACAGCACAAGGAACCAAGCAAGGCTGCTAGACCCCAGGTACAACTACCATGTGCTTTAAATAAATCCATGCCATACATGGAGTCAACATGATGACTGAGGGAAAGGGAGGGGCAGAGGAGGAATTTCCCTTCTGCAGAGTATAGCAGGGGATACATGAAGAGAGATACACAAGCCAACTGCAGAGTATCAGCAAGGGCAGATGCCTGAAGTTCAAGAAACGACACCCAGGAAGGAAATATGAACAAAATACACAGAGGAAGAATATGTCCCAGCAGGAAAGGGCGTACCTGTCTGCACAGGTAGGAAAGGGTCTCTATCCTGAGAGTTCAAACACAGGGTCTCTAGGAACCCTATTGACCCCAGGTCCTCAAGGGTGCCCAAAAACTGGTCACTTACCCTAATTGCTTCCTAGAGGGCAGGTTTCTGGCCAAGAAAAAGAAAACACGAAAGAAAAAGTGATTCAGAAACCCAGAAAATTCAGGTAGAAAACCAAGACCCCTCCATCAGCCAGCATCTCTCCCACCCCTAAAGGACAAAGCTGGATGAGAGGAAGCCAGTTGTCCTGGGTGACTGGCTGCCTTCCATGCGTGGTAGCGAGACAACATGGCAGCTTGATTCCTACCAGTCTGCTTGGGGATGAAGATGTTCTCTGGGTTGAGGCCTCCAGCTCTTACAGCATTCTGAAAATCTTCCAGGGCCTCCTGGTTGATGTCAGGGTCTCTGCCTATAGGTGAAGGACATGGAATTAGACACACAGTTGTGGGAGCTGCATGTGAAGACTTGACCCAGAGGCCAGAGTGAGTGAGAGAAGACCCTGGGGGGGGGGGGGGGAGGAAGACCAGCATACCACATGCATCCTTCCACAATATCTGACCTAGGAGACACAGAGGCACTGTTCCTGAGTTCATCCTAGGGCAGCTGAGAGCAGTGTGACCCCCATCACTCTGAAGATAAGTCACCATTGCCTGAGGGACCCATGCTGTTTCTCTGCTCTCTATCTGGAAAAGTACCCAGCCTAAGGGAGAGCTCAGGAGGCTCTAAGGCCTTCATCTCCGGAAAAACGCACACTGAGAGCAGCTGTGATGGAGGCTACACTTTATACTCGGGCTCCTTTTTCTATACTCATCCTTCTTACAGCTGGAACCCCAACAGCAGCAAGGCCCCTTTCACCCTAAGAGTCCTTGGCCCATCTCACAACAATGTGACTCACCCAGGAGTTTTGCCATTCGGAAATGATGCCTGTGCACTTTGCCCTCATAGTAGAAGATGTAGTGGTCCTCCACTGCAGATGGGATGATGTAGAGCACGTGTTTACCCCCATCTGTAGAGGAACGGTGACATACATTCTGAATAAGCCCCTGAACCCTCAACAAGGATACAAGGGTGGACTGGAACCTCTTGACCCAGGCTCCCTCCCAGTTGCTCAGGGCTCCCTGACCCAGGTTGTCCACCACCCACCAGAGCCTTGGGTACATAGACCCTTCATTTCCATAGAACCACACATGTGAGAGATGGCCATGTCCCAAACCTGTGTGTCATACAGGAGGGTCTGCCTCTGGAGCTAAAAGCAGCCCCTTTCTCACTCCCTCCATGACCTCAGCCATAGCCAGTGAGACATCTCTGGGCAGCTGCATTGACTACTTTTATGTTAGCTTCACACAAGATAGAGTCATCAGAGAGGAAGAGAGCCCAACTGAGAAAACTCTTCCATAAGACCAGGCTGTAGGCAAGCTTGTACAGAATTTTCTTAATTAGTGATTAATGGGGGTGGGCTCAGACCACTGTGAGCAGGGCCACCTCTGTAATAAAGTAGGCTGAGCAAGCCATAACGAGAAGGCCAGGAAGCAGCACTCCTCCATGGCCTCTGCCTTGTTTGAGTTCCTGCCCTGACTTCCTTTCATCATGAACGGTGATGTGGAAATGTTAACAAAATAATCCTTCTCCTCAACTTGCTTTTTCTCATGCAGTTGCATGGCAGCAACGGTAACCCACCCTGAGACAAAACAGTCAATTCTCCTCTAGGGACACATCTACCACACCCAATTTAGTGTTCAATGTCAGCTGTTCCCATCTGTAAGGAAAACTGCCTCCTGGGAGTGATCATGAACACTACAGGAATTGAAGGAAGGGAGGTTTCTCAGACCATGGGCACCCTGGTGTGGCCACACTGGCCTCAAATGGATCACTAGAGGTTGAGGGTTGGGTGAAGCCATCACAGGTCAAGGACTCACAGGCTGTGTATTTGCCAGGTTCATCTGACTTCTCTAGGAGGGTGTTCATCTCCTGGCACCGTCCTGCAATCCTGAAAGACAGAAGGTCTGTGAGACAAACTGCCCAGTCACACCTCCCCTGCTGGCAGCATCCAAATCAAGGCCTGTGCTTTTCTGTTTCCAAGGTGGACAAGGAAGTGCAGGTTTCACTCAGTCCTATTTATGTTACCAGCAGGCCTCCCAAGTCACGTGTTCCAGTGCCCTGCCTCTCACAGTAACCCCAGTTCTGGGTTGGGTCATTTGCTGCCTGCACTCTGACAGCCCCTTGCTCACTCCTCAGGAGTCTAGCCTACTTGATCTGCAAATATTGTCTCAAGCAAAACACTCCCTTCCTAACCTCCATGGTTAGGAACCTCCATGGCTCCTGTGGCTGATCCTCTGTCTCTGGAGCTATTTGGAGACCAGCCCTACAATCACTGTCACCTGGACAAATGAGGGAAAGCTTCAGTGGGTAGGGTCAGGGAAAAGAACAAATGGCAAACTACAAGATAACTGCCACATCAGGGACTGACAAATGCCAGATCCCGTGAGGGCAGCATAGACATTCTCGTGTTGTTCAGGGGCCATTAAGGTGGCAGGCCCCAAGAAGTGAGATAAGGCACAAATGTAGAAGCCACATGGATGGGAGGTCACACAGGTGTGAGAGCACACAAGTGAGAGTCTACACAGATGACAGGGCACACAAGGGAGTGGTCGAGGAGGTGACAGAGCACAAAAAAATGAGGTTGCATAGGTGATGGAGGATACTAGAGGGGATAAGCTGGAATTTCACAGTGTCTGTGCAGAGCCTGATAACCTTTCTCCCTGGGGTCCTGGGCATACTCTTGATCATTCTGAATTCCTGATGTCTGCCTTTGTCCCAAACAGAAGTTTACATTGGAGGAAGAACAAGGCCAGACTGTGTGCTCACTTTGGGTCTAGGAGTGAAACCCTTCCCCAAACATGAGTCCCTGACAAAGGGTATTATATCAGAGTAGAAAGATGGTGCCCCCTTGCAGCTGATATATTTTCTCTGGACCACCTACCATACCATGGTCCTCTGTAAGCTGAGGCACCCTGACTAGTACTGTTGCACACAAAACGTGGTACTGGGTGTTCTGGGAGCTGACTCAGCTCAGTGCCCAGATCTCCTGTGTGGAGAAAGCAAATGACAGGAATCTGGCACATACTCACAGGACAGTCAACTTGACTTGCAGGTTGCCCCCTTCCAGGATCTTGATGTTCATGGGAGTCACAGACACAGACCCAAGCTTCTTGTCAGGGATCTCCTTGTCCCATGCTGTAGCTTTCAAATACCACGTTCCTGATACCTAGAGAAGGTACCTGGCTATCAGGACTAAGGGAGACAGGTTGGAATGCCTCTAGTCCATAACCCCACTTCTACCTTGCCCCCCAAATTCTGGACATATGAAGTGTTTCCCAGGTAATCATTCTACCAACACACTAAGTAAATTAGCACTACCAGGGACACATCTGTGTGGTCTCCAACCTCTACAGGCAAGACACTCTCCCAGACCCCTTCACTTCCAAAGAATAGTGAAGAATGTGGAACTCCTATCTCCTCCAGCTCTCTGCTCCCAGGACCATCTAAGTAGACTCTGTTGCTGTGTCTAGTATTCCTTCAGTCAGGGTTCAAGCCTGACTCTAAAACGATGTCCCTTTAGGTGGAGAAGGAATGGGGCCTCCAGGTAGCAACCTCAGCCCCCCATCTGCCATAAAGCCACTTGAAGCCCCTGCCCATCCCAGCCTCACATCCTGATTCTCTTGCACGGTGGGGAAGGCCTGGGCCCGCAGGGTAGCCAGGAGGCTGAGGCCAAAGGTCAGGAGCAGGGCCTTCATCTCCAGAGTCTGTGCTCACAGATGCCCAGCAGGTCACTTGGCAGACTGAGGATGCTCTTCTGGGGCCTCGCTCAGCTGCCCTTTATACTGCTCAGCCCAGGGTCCCCAGGGAAGTTGGCAAGGTGTACTCACCAGTCCCTTCCTGGTCAGTCACACTGGCCAGTTCTGCAATGGAGCAGATAAAATGTCATCATTGTTGGAAGTTGTTAGAGAATACCCTTAGCCCAGAAGATGATGAGACCGGGCTACCGCACCGAGGAACTGGCGTGCAGATTTCCCCTGGCAAGAAAGTGAGTCTGCATTAGAAGTGCAGCCTCCCATATCAAGAGACCCTGAGGGTGAGTACTGCAGAAGTGAACCTTTCTTGTCTACACTGTGTGGTCATCCAGCTGGCAGACATGCTCCCTGACACAGAGGAGAACACTGAAGCCAGAGAGTCTTGTGCTCCATTCTCAGGGACCTTCCTCAATCCCAGAGAAGGTCACTGAACCTTAGATTCATCTTGGAAAAAGAGGGGTCTCTGCATGTGGGAGCCCTCTGTGTGACTACCCAAATGTGTGCTTAAACTGTGTCCCCTCCTCAGCAGGATGTGCACTAGCCCCTGCCCACATGCAGAGGGAGAATGAGTCAGACAGACAGAAAGCAAGAAGGGCTGTGTGAGCACATGTGCACACAGGCTCTCATGTACACACAATGGGCACTGTGAACACATGTACACACAGGCTCTCATGTACACACAATGGGCTGTGTGAGCATATGTGCACACAGGCTCTCATGTACACACAGTGTGCTGTGTGAGCACATGTGCACACAGGCTCTCATGTACACACAGTGTG